AGGGCAAGACCCAGCCTTACTACTTTCTAGCTGGGGGACCCTCCTTTGGGAAGTCTGAACAGTCCTCTTCTTTGTGGCCAGATGTGTGGGACTGCTTTGCCCAGGGTCTGGACCAGCCAGTGGGCAGGGCACTGTGAGAGAAGGCAAGGCGTGGCTGGCAGGGCTGCCCCTCAAACAGGGTGCTGCCCCTTCTGGGGGCCTTTCCAGCCCATTTAACTAGATTCTGTGAGACAGTCCAGGGAGGGCACAGGCCTGGGGCTTTGGTGGCCTGCGTGCCTGAGGGGCCTGGCACTGATCTGGGCACTTCTCTTCCAGGGCCTTAGTGTCTTGGGCCAAGGCCACATCTAGCATCTAGCAAGCAGCCTTTACTCAGCACCCGCAGGCTGGGCTCGGCTGCCTCCGCTGGACCCACTGGGCCCAGTGGCGGATAGTGCCACTCAGAGTGCGGCTGGACCCACAGACCCAGGTCTTGAGCACTGGCCCAGGCTGGCCGGCAGGGGGCGCCTCCTGCCGGATGGTCCAGTCCCTTGGAGGAAAGGGAGGTGGGACCCAGATGGGTGGGGGTCTTGTAGGTTCAGCTTATTCCAGCCCATGGTGTAGCATGGCTGGGCACTTCTCCAGGGCCCCAAAGGCCCTACAGACCCCACCCACAGTGGGCTCTTGCACTCTCTCCTGGCACTGGGGAGCAGGCAACACTGGGCCCATCAACAAACACTGAGTGCCTTGCAGATACTGGTCCGGTGCAGTCTCAGTGCGGGGGTCTGAGTCTGCTCAGGAGACAGCTGAATTCATAAAACATCGTGTGCAGTCCAGATTCAGATAGGTACACGGGGACCATCTCATTTTAATCAATTTTTTTTTATTAGAAACAAATATGCTCATTACAGAAAAGAATCAAATATAAAAGTAAAAAAAAAATTAATTTCCTCTATTCGTAAGAACTCACCAGCCCCTCTCCAGACCTGAAGCTATTAGTCCTGACACTGGCAAATGGTTGGGGCAGCACCACAGTCAGGCATAAAAATGCAGCTGCGTAGGAGTTGGGCCTGTCACGGAAGGACAGAGCGGCGGGTGGGAAGTGTTTGTGAGGGTCAGCAGGACGCCAGGAAGGGCAGAGTTTCTAGATTCTGAGAGAAAAAACTAGTGGTTTTTGCTCTTTCAGTGGAATTAGGAGGCAAGACTTGGGGGCTTGCCGAACTCAAAGACTGGTCAATGGCAAGGCTAAGCCCAGGGTGCAGGTTATTTCACCTTTAGATGGGTGACTGAGGGCTTCTACGCTTTTACTCCACTCCTGGGGAAAGGGCCCACAGACACACCA